TCATTAACATTGGTCGCAAGCCACAAGCCATTTCTTAAAAGGCAAAATGATGATTCTGGCTATGACTAATTATATCCCATCCTTTTTTCCTTGCAAGCAACTCAAGACAGCTTACACACTTCTCCTCCTCCTCTCAATATTATCCTCACAACAACAGCAACAACTCTGTGAGGCAGGTTAGGCTGAGATTCTGTGACTGGCCCAACTGATAAAACCAAAAGAAAATCAACATGCCCTAGAACTTGAGCAAAAGGCCGAGGTGTTTTGTGTCCTGGGCTCCAAGACACAAAGCCACTATTTGAACCCAAAATAGAGGTAGTGCTGAGATCATCACTTCATGTTGCAACATGCCAGCCTCACATGTTATGTTTAATTAAAAAGAATTCTTAAATAAACTATGAATTAGGAAGGACAGAGGGTCTGATGAGCTCCATGAGAGACTCCAAATCTGACACACACATGCACCACAAAAGGCTAGGCATATCCACAGTCAATAGTAAAAACAAAGTACTCATGGAGCATCTTAAAAGTTAAGTTTACAGTGGCATACATTTTTGTGCATGTTATCTGATGAAGCTCACAAATGCTTAGGTACGAGCATACTGTGAAGGTTCTGCTGTTTTTACAGAGAGATCAGTACTTAAGAATCATGCCAATGTGAGTTAAAGTTTCAAAAACGCGGGCGTGAGGAAACAGCGAGGCTGGCACTATTCAGTTGTATCCCTACTCCTGCCCTTGGCTTTCTAGATGACCTTCAAGAAGCTCAAGGCAGGGTTTGAGGCTGTGAGCTGAGTCTGTGCCTCAGTTTCTCCGTGAATAATGAAGACAGCCCACATGAGCTAAGAAGAGGGATGTGTAGTCACTGGCCAGTGCTTGCCACCAGTTATGCGATCCCAATACAAAATATGCTACACCCAGTTCACTGTCAGCAGCTCATTGACCTCAAGGGAGTCTGTGTCTGGAACAAGTAACTACAAAAATAATATATTTCAAAAGCAGCTCAAAAATTGTGGCATTTCCTTAAAAGGTGTCTTCCTTCCAGATATTTAAGCTTGACATTAGCTTGAATTTCCTGGGATTGTTCTGGCTACCCTTCCCCAGCACTTTCTTAATGGAATGATGAAGCCAAGAATGGCCATTAGGAAAACACTGTAGACACACTTGCTTGCTCTCTATTCAAGTCTTGTGACAGGTGGGTTCAATTTTTAATAAATCAGAAGAAAACACATAGCCCTAGTCTAGAGCTGCACTCCCTAGATCTCCAGGGGCTCCAGATGGTGGGTTCCTCTTACTTACTGCCCCAGCACTAAACCAGAAATGTGGGCATTCATGAGAAAGGCAATTCCCAGCCTGCCATCCAAGCAGAAAACTAGTGGCACAAGACAAACGGCCCCTGCCGATCTGGGGTCCATCCCCTTCCACATGCCAGCTACACAGAGAATACCATAGCAGCTGCAACACACATGTGTACGGAAAAATATTTTTAAGGTATGTGTGATTATATAATGATGCTATCTGGGGCACTGACCATTTGACAGGCCCGCTACGACAGGCCCCATAGCTTGCCCTGCAAAGAGAGACTAAAAATGAGGGGTAGTTGAGCTGATTCATATTGACAAACCAGTTCCAGGTTTCCATCTACTAGGAGCAAGTCTTCTGGAAAGCTGACGGGTCTTTCTGAATTGTCCCTTCAAGACAAGATCACTCCAAAATACCTTGCATTTATGAAAGGGAACTCCAAATGGTTGCTGAGAAAATTCACATCCATCTGGCCACTGTGAAGGCTGCAGCTAAGCTCAGAGGAAACAGGCATTCTAGACAGAGTGGGTAGCAGACAACACCCGCAGCCTTGCTAACAAAAAGTGCTGGCACTGCATCCCTGAGAGTATATGAAAGGCATTTCTGGGCACTTTGAAAGCCTGGGCACTAGGAATGGCAGTTTTCTGGACTTGGGGAAGCTCACCACAACAAAAGTACAAAAGCCTGTGAGATAATATCATCTCCCTCTCAGCTGAAATCCACCAAGGCTCCACTCCACCAACCCAGCCAGCTGAGCTTCCCCAAGAGAATCCAGGAATGGCATTTTGGTGAAGGTACAGAGACTTCTTAGCCCGCTTCACAGAATGGCAGCTGTCAGGGCTCCTGCAAGAAGGGCAGGCTATTCAATCAATTTTATTTAGAGTGGATATATACTTCTGGAGCAGCATACTAAACTTTTTCTTCTTTCCAGAGACCTCCCAGGTTCAAGGTCAATTGTCCCTCCCTCTCTCTTCCGCCTCTTCTCCTAACTGCCAGAAGCTTTTGTACTGTCAAGGAAAGGTGAACACAAAAATACGATCCTGTAGGAGGAGGTTTGGTGTTCTTCACGATGCCATGTTGAATTGCAGGGGCGTCCCACACAACTGGCTCAGTGGGAACAAGGGCTTGCCAAAGCTGATCAGAGGGGGGCAGTAATTCCTGCTTACTAAAATACACCCTTTAATCTTACATTCCACTGCAATTAGCCTCTCACTTCAGAGAGCAATTAGAAGAGCAGCCCCTCTGGCTAGAAGGTCTCCCAGGCCGCCCACAACAGGAACACTTCAAAAGCAGAAGGAAAACCAGACCTTGTTAGGGTGGTGAGCCACCTAACTAATTACAGTGTTTAAGAGAATCAGGGAATGTGGACAGTCTAAACAATGGAGCCTCACCCAATTTATTACAATTTTTCAATCATCAGTTGATGGAGATGAATTATTTGTTGTTGTGAACCTGGTTATTCCCAAAGTGTTTTTTTAAACCAACATTGTACAACCAAGGGAAATGACACATTTGTTTATGCAAACATGCCTTTTATTTCCTGCATTTCTTATTTTCCTCCCACTTGAAACTGAATCATATTTCCATTTTCACAGGATCACCCAAGGAACATAGAAAACCACCTTGTATAGCAATCTATGTAGCCCGATGTTGTCCAGATTCAGACAACAAAATAACCAGTAGACAACCCATGAAGGGAACCCATAGATTTTAACTGAGTTGGTTGTGATTTACAAATTATGGTGGCTGGGGTTCAGACATCACAATAACCTACATTTCAACAATAAGCCACAAATCAATGACAACCAACACTTGTCCCATAATCAGCCCTTGAGTATAGGTTAGCATGTTGCCTGAACCCTGTCATTATCCATTATGATTGGCAGCAGCTCTCTAAGATCTCAGACAGGGAAAGGCCTTTCCTATCACCTGCTACCTCATTGGACTAACTGACAATGGCGGGGACTCATCCTGAGACCTTGTGCACACAAAGCATTTTTTTTTCTATGACTGAGGTGTGGTCACTTCACTAAAGAAATGGAAGTACAGCAGGAAGGAATGGAGCTGAAAGAGCTGTGCAAAGAAGAAACTTCTACAATGAAGAGTTCTACTGACATATAGTAGAAACTGTGTATCCATGGGGACTAGAAACATGTTTTTCAAAAAGAAAAGGACAGATACACATGCTACCAAGATTCTCAGGTCTTCAGACTCTATAACCTGAATCAAATCCTACAAGGACTCAAAAGTCTGTAAACTCATACAAAGCAGTTTCTATTACCCAGCCCCACATAGCAATCCACTCCCATTAATATCTATATGGCACAATGTCTGGATCTTTAAAAACCCTTCCCATTAAATACTTATTGCCCGTTAAATTTACTTGGATGCCAATCATTGTTGCCTGGTAGAAGAGAGTAAAAATTGGTACCCTGTCCACATCCGCTGCCAAATCCACTGTCAGTATCTCCACTTAAGCCTCTTCTCTCTAGGACTCTAGGCAACCACGCCACGCGTGCGCACTCCCTTCACCCCACCTGCCTCTTATGCCACACTCATGAAGCAACCTGTAAAATCAGCACACTTCTTGTTCCGCACAATGAACAAGAGAAGCATTTGCTGCAGAGAGAGATCACATTCCTGTTCTGTGCTTGGTGCTTCCACCCTGGCAGGCTCCCTGGCAGTTTGATGTTGCAGAGGATTGCGGAGATGCCCTTCTTAATGAATCCCGGTGTTGGTATCACAGCCTTTCCAATAGAAGAGCGTATCCTCGATACCCCAAATAATCACTAGCATCGTCACCACACTGGGGGTAGGCTTACCCCAAAATGTATAATGAGGCAACAACAAGAGAGAAGACTGGAAAGAAAGCTGCCAGCGGCTAACGCTGGCTCAGATAAATGGAGCCTTGTGATTTTGCTTCTGAGATGACAAGCCCTTCTCCCACAGCAGTTCTAAGCCAACTCCAGGACTGAACCTAAGGTGACCCCTGTTATATTTGACCTGTTGAACACAGATCAGCTCCACGTGGAAAGCCTAGCTGGAGAAAGCATCCTTCTATTAGCCCGCAGACATCCAAAGCAGTATCATTACAATCTCTTTCCCTCATAGGAGGCACCAAGGTCATCTGAATCTATCCCCCCCTCCCCCCACCACCACTGCAAGCTACTTCAGTTCCTGCAGCACACATCTGGGACCAAGAGATTTCTCCTCACCTCAAAAGATGCCTTCATGGTTTGACTAGACACATATGCATTGGTGACCATCCTCTACCATCACCTCGGCAACAAAGCCAGGCACTCCTTTCCAGAGAAACCGCAGGCATACCCTCACAAGTATACCTGCCAGTGGTCTCAAAGCCTTCATCCCACTCACTATAATACTAATGATGCTTCTGGTGTGAAATCCGCAGAAGATGAGAGAAGACGCTGATCGGAGGCCACACAAAAGAATCAGCAGCAGCGCTGGGACAAGAATCGTGGGAGTTTTCATGCCTGGACCCCCCTGCCTGAGACATTTAGCAGCAGAAACCACATTAAGATTTACATAAGAACGCTCTAAAGCGAGTTCCTTGGGCCCAGTAGCCCACCAACACAATAGCAGAAACACCTTGAATCCTCAAGCCCTTCCACATCCAACCTTTGGCCCACCCGCCCCTTGCATTCATGGAGAGATCAAGCTCGGCGGGACAGCGTACTTACTGGGTAGCTCTCCCTTGGCCAGCTCAACGCTAAGCAGCTCCTTATGGCTGAGGCTCCAGCCCGGTCCAGGGTGAGTGGGGGTGGATGCCGGGCTCTTAGTGAAGATGCCACTGATGAACTTGAGCATTTTACGGTCACGGGTAGAAGACCGGCCACCCTCCCGGCCTCTCTTCAGCCCTACTGCTGCCTCCGAGGAGCAGGAGCCAGACGAGGCCAGGCTGGCCGGTCCATGGTTGAGGTCACTGTTATCCAGTGTCTTACTTTTGTTTTTATGAGGGGACAGTTTTGCCCTGGACCCCCCTCTGGGGACTGTTTCCCCACTCCCCTTGACTGTAACTTTCATGCGGGCCTTCACCTCACTCTCCGGCCATGATAGACGGTTGGGGGTGCCCCCCTTGTGGACTCCCTTGCTGGCCTTCGGCTCAGCACCCACCTTGGCCCCACTGGTGGTCACTGTTTTGAAAGGCTTGTTCGTGGCCAAGCGAAGACGGCGGCTGCCAGCTGCTGGGTGAGGAGAAGAGGCACCTGAGTGGGAGAAGGAAGAGCCGCCGACCCGGCCCATGCTGATCTCTGTGGCCGCAGGCTCAGGGCCCCCCCAGCTAGCATGGCTGACCAACATCCGGCGTCCCGGTGCTGCAGCACTGGACGAGCAGCTGGCAGTGGTTGGTGGTGGCGGCAGTGGAAAGTCATCTCCTGGCACCCCCAAGGTTTCCTTCAGTTCAGCCTTGGGGAGGACTGGAGCCACTTCTGGCTTCGGCGGCACAGTGGGAAAGGCCGGAACCAAAATGGCTTTAGGCTTTGGGGCTACCGCTGGAGCTGCTGGAACCACAGTCACCGCAGGCTTGGGGGTCGGCACGGTCGAAACAGAGGGAACAGCAGCCTCAGGTTTGGGAGCAATAGGTGGAAAGGCAGCCATTAAAGGAGGCTCAGGTTTCGGGGGGATTGTTGGGGCTATGGAGGGAACCACCGGCTCAGGTCTGGGAGGTGGTGCTGGGGCTCCACAGGACCCAGGCTGCTTGAGAGGCCCAACAGATTCAGGCTTGGGGGCCAGAGGTGGGGCGATGAAGGAGGCAGTAGGCTCAGACTTGGAGGCTGAAGCTGTCTCGGGTCTGGGGGGCACAGCAGGTGCAACAGGCAGCACCAGAGGCTCAGGTTTTGGGGGCACAACTGGAGCAAATGAGGGCCCCAGCACTTCAGGCTTCGGCGCAATGGGCGGCGCTTCTGGGCTTATGGTGGCTTTGGGCTTTGGGGCAGCCACAGTCCCAATCTTCGGGTCCCAAGGGCTGCCTTGGCCACTTCCAGTTGGAGAAGTCCACAGGGAGCTGGCTCGCCCAGTGCCATCTGGGGACGGAGAGGGGCCGGGTGTCCCTGGACTGCTCGGAGACAGCTGCAGCAGGTAATCCGGAGTGCTAGCACTGCTAGTGCTGATCCAGAGTGCATCTTGCCGGTGAAAGATCCGCTCTTGCCTCTTGAGCTTGGCTGCCTCCTCGGCTTCCTTACGGCCCTTCACCCCGGTGGCATGGTCTGCAACTGGTGAGGCCAAAGGGCTAAAGGCTTGGACTTGGCCACCGCCTCGACTGTCGGGCTGGGGGGCTCCATCGCCTGCTCCCACCTTCTCGTCCTCTTGCTGCTGCTGGACAGATTCGAGCTTGACGAGGGTCAGGGAGATCAGGTAGGTAGTCCTGCGCTGCAGGGTAGCTCCTCTGCTCATGAGTGCCGGGGGGAACGGACGGCAGCACCCGCACTGCTAGCCAGCATCTGCCAAACATTCCCCCCTCGCTGCTGCCACTGCCGCCACCCCCTCTGGACAGCACTGGATACCAGCTGCCAGCCGGAGCCCCCTAATGCCCGCCCTGCTCTGTCCATGCACAAAGGGCAGCTCTAGACGAATGCTGCAGCAGCCCGGACATCTCCTTGTGGCTGGTCAGCTCTTCAAGGCAGTCCCGGGAAGCTAGGGAGGTGGAGAGCTTACCTGCTCCTCTACAGACCAGCTGCTGGCATGAAGGTGAGCATCTTCCAAGCAACCACCTGCCACCCGAGGAAGAGGCGGCGGCGGCGGCAGAGGCGGCAAGAGAAGATGGGTACAGGGGGCTCGGTGGTCCCTTAGAAGAGGAAATCAAAGCCCGTGCCAAAGCATAGAGGCAGGCAAGTCCTCCGAGAAGCCAGTAAAAGGTAGGGTGGCAGAGGGCGAGATCGCTGTTCCCATGCAGACAAGCTGGAGCGTGGAAGGAAAAGGAGGGGGGAGTGGGAGGGGGAAAGAAAAAAGGGGGGGAATCACAGCTTCGTTGCAAGCAGCAGCTCCCTTTTTGTGGTGTTGCCGCAACCTCGGGAGCCCCTCGGAGCAGACCTCATCGTCCTGGCAAGGTGCCAGGGTCTCTCACGCTCCCTCGCCAGGTCTCGTCCTTCGCAGTCCTCCTACGGTACATCCTTTACTCGACAAGTCCTCTTGCTCCGGCTCGCCGAAACCCGCTGAGGAGGAGGCCAGATCTTTCCGCTCCCCCACCTCTCCTCCGCTGCTGTCGCAGCAGCAGCAGCAGCAATGCCCCCCTCCCCACTTTCGTTTCCTCCTGGTGGCTTCTACCTTTTAATACATGGGGGTGGGGTGGGCGGTGCGGTTATTCGCACGCGTTTTATGCACTGCTGCCAGCTCGGGAGAAAGCCGCGACAAGCAGAAATGCGGAAATCAAGGTGGAGGGAGGGTGTGCGGGAGCGTGGAGATCACAAAACGCAAAGCCATCTCGGCGCCGGCGGCGGCGGCAAAGCAGCCCTTCGAGAAACAGAAGCTCTCGGTGTGCCACAATCGCCTGCTGTATCCTACCAACCCGAATTATAGGAAGGGAAGATGGGGGAAAGCGGGGGAAGTGATCCTCAGAGTTATCACATTGAAAATGCACAAGCCAAGAAGTGGAGGCTTTCTGCCAGGGCACGTGGAAATCCCGGACCGGATCGCACGGAATCTCCGCCCGCACACCAGACCTTAGCGACGCTCGGAGCCTTTCTCAGCACTTCATCAGTCACCGCGTTGGGCGGGCCTTTCTCAAGACAGGGCATGTCTCAACCTCACACACGCCCTTCCGGCGCTGCCCCCCCCCCCCCGGAGACAGGCCCGGGGCTAAATTAGTACGCGCAGATTGGCCTCTTTGGTTCGCCCGGTGGACAAGGTCATCTGGACAATCAGCTGCGAACAGCTGGGAAGCCCCAACATCTGGAGGTTTAGCGGATGATGCGGCTAATGTGCTCAAATCCCCACCTGCTCCGGGATTATCAGGGTAATTAGGGAAGGGAAGCCTGTTAGGCCGGCTGCATGTGGAGCTACAGGTGGCTGCAGTTACCTTAAGGAGCCTGCCTGAATTGTTTCACCCCCACATCCCTCTACCGGCTGCTCCTCCCATCCCTTTCCACTCGCCTATGGCTCAGCCAAGTGGGAGGGATTGCAGTGCATGCTTTTGGTTGCATAGTATTAAATTCTTTTTAGCAGTGCATCTATTTAATGGCTCCATAAAGGAAGCCACAGCCAGGAGTTTACAAGAGCTGAAGAGGACTGTCACAGAGAGGACATTTTGGAGGGCTTTGGTTCATAGGGTTGCCATAAGTCAGAGACAACTTGACAGCACATAAAAACAACTGTTTAATGGCAACCAATGTTTAATGTTGCAAAGAGGAACTTTGCTCATCGAAAGACTACAATTTGGATCCACTGGGATGGCAGAGTTGCAGCAATTGGTCATTTCTGGCATAGTGGCCAGGTTTGGGAATGCTCTAGCATAATCTTGAACATGCATCAACGTCACAGCTCAGCACTGACCCTGAAATGCTAATTGAACCACAGCATATTTGAGACACAGTCTCAGCACAGGTGGAGACAGGTGCAAAATGTTACTATGTCAAGAAAGGCAGTGACAAAAACCACCTCCTCATTTCTGTGCCAAGTGAATGAATGCTAAATACCCAAATCCAGGAACAAAAGTGAATCAAGTTATCCTAGCAAAGTTGTGAGGAGTGAAGGTAAATGACAGCAGTAACACAGAACAGATGATTCTTAGGCAGATGAAGAAAGTTTTGCAGGGGGAAAATACAATTTCAAGGGGATGGCCTTAATGGATGCATAATTGTATATTCTGTCATTTGGAGGAACTACCATTTTCTAGTTCAAAACCATGACTCTATATATTTACTCATCAGCACACAGTGAAAAGGGGGTAGAAATATGCTCTTTCACCATTGTTAACTGTTCTAAAAAGGTGTTATGTGCTAACTTAAAGGTGTTATGTATCTTGACTATGGTCCTTAACAGGCTGTTTAGAGTACAGATGGAAATTTGCAGGGAAGTGTGGGGAAGAAAGCAATGGGGAGCAGAGTATTACATAGGGTATGTGAAAATAGGAGCAGATAACAAATAGGGACATCCTGTGTTGTATAGTTCCAGGAGTAAAAGAGTAGCACAGACGTGGTGCAAAGGCAAAAATCATAGATGGTACAGTTATACTACACTAGTGCTCTCATTTCTGGGCCTAGTTCAAATTGCTGGTTTTGAACATGAAGGGATTCACAGGATGGGACCAGGATATCTGGACTACTGCTGTCTTCCACATGTCCATACATGAAGAACTTCAGAAGAGGCCTTTCTCTGAATAACCTTTGCCTTCTGAAGTGCTGTTGGGCCAACTTTCTAAAAGTCAGCACTGAATTATGGAATGTTCCCCAGAGGGATTCCTCTGGCACTTTTGATGACCAGGTCTTTTAATCCAATCTGTTTTGCCTCTGGTGCTGTCTTTAAATTTGCTTTTAGTATGCTGTTGGCAGGATTTAGTTGTTTTTCTTGTATTTTAGTTTACTGTCAGTTGCCTTGGGAATTTGTTCGAAGCGTAGGGTAGAAATTCCTCAAATAAATATCTGATCGTTTTGGGCAGGAACATTTGCTGTGTCCAAAAGGGAAAATGAGTGCTTGTAAAGTGCCACTTGTAGATCAGAAACAATTGTTCTTGGCTCCCCAGCCAGAGGCTTGGTTCAATGTGTCCCAGATGAATGGAGTGCTTCCCTAGTATTCCCTATGCTTTCAGAATAAACTCTAGGCAGGCATCCGTGCAAACCCTCACCTCTGCATTGAGACATGTGAACCTCCCCCTCACCTCCCCTTTTGAATATGCTGGTCCAGCCAGTATTCCAGAGTTGCCAGAAAAAGGACCAATGAATACGAATTGTGCCAAAATATCTGCACCATTGAAAATGATTCATATTCAGAAAGCACCAAGCACACACTATGCCTGCTGCTTCCTTTCAAAAGTGCTGAGGGCGCAATTCTAGCCAACTGTACTTCCATCACAGGCACATAGTCTGTAATCACCACAATTCTCTCCCTGGGTAGCAGACAACCATACTGTGCCAGTAGGAAGGCACCCATACACTCGGTTACGCTACCACCGCAGAATTCATGCAGAAGCAACACACATGATGCATAGTTTAGATGGAGTTGCAGAACTCTCATCGTACCCCAGCCTCCTTTTACTTCAGCATGTGTGTTGGAGTAGCTTAGCTGTAGAATCTGTACCATCACAGGCCAGTGGACATTGTAAAATGTGTGTGAGCACCTTGCACAAGGTCAGAAGGTGTGTTAACCCCAAGTTCCCTTGGTCACATCTGTATGAATATGCATCTATTGTGCATTAAGCTTTGTAACCATCTTGTATCAGGTCAAAGGATTGTGTTTGTTAGTAATCTTACTGTATCCTAGAACTGTTCTAAAATGTAAAAAGTACCTTTCAGAAAACATTGCTTTCCTTTATTTCTGAATGCACATCAAAAAGATTCTCACCTATTCTATGCCTTCCTTGTGAACTGTTTGAGCATTTCTCTTAAAATCTCTCACCTAGTGATCATAGCAATATTAATTATATAAACATCGCTGCTAAATTGTAATTTTCCTCTTCTAGTACAAACTGAATTGTATAAAAATACCCATTGCAATTGAAGACATCAAAAATGTTTGGAGACCGTTTCTCTCTACCATTATAGGAATTCTTCCTTTAATAAGGAAAGAATCCTTACCAACTCAAGGGTTTCACCTTCCCCTGCCTTGTACCCTCATGGCAAGGGAAAGGTACAAGGCAGCTATGTACAAGCTATGTGCTAGACTATAGCTTCCAGAATCCACCCCATGGCTGGGATGGCTTTACAGAGGGATCTAGCCATGGTAGTGGGACAGTGGGAGCATCATGTAGTGTGCTTCCTAATTTCCATTGCTGATAAACAACATGCCCTAGTCTAAACTTTTAGAGCAGAGGCGGGCTACTTGTGATCCTCAAAATGTTTTAGCCTATACATCTCATCCGCAATTCCCAGCATAGCCAAAGGTGAGGGTGGATGGGAGTTGCGGGCCAAAACATCTGGAAGGCCATAAGCTGTCTCCTGCTCGAAGTGATGCCGCAACAGTTCTAATGCAAAGGACTCTTCAGTCCTTTTAAAGGTGTAGAAACATTAGGATGGTGCTTTTAGAAAATCATCATCTCATCGATTTAGAATTTCTCAAAAGCTTTGCATGATGCAAACATAAAAAATCATAATGCATGCTAGACGTAGCTACTTCAGCCCTAATTGAGGCCTGCTTTAGGAGCATAACACTGCAAGGGGAAAGGCACCAAAGTAAAGACTGGGCCAGGCCAAAAATCATGCCTCGACAACCTCTCTCAGCATGGTGATGACTTGCATGCCCCT